AATCCCGATATCGCCCAAAGGTCTCGCTGAACCTCCTCGTACGACGCGCGCGCCGGGCATCCTTGAGCTCGGAGAGGATGCGTCCGCTCCAGATGCCGAGACAAGAGTCGCCGCGGAGGAGGAAGTAGGGGTTCAGGGGCGGCAGCAGGGAGTCTGCGCAGGTCAGCAAGAGCGTCACCTCGAATAACGCACGCAAGAGGATGAAGGGGAGCGCACCTAGGTCTACGAAGCGGATCCGCAGGTAATCCACAGACCGAAGCTTCTGCAGCGCCCGAATACCCTGGGCAACAAGCAGCTCGAACGCGTCAATGAACCCTGTGTCCTGGATGCCGCTGCCCGACTCGTGAAACACGGGCACGGGTCGGCAGCAGTTCTTGACGGTGATGTCGATACTCTTCAGCCGCGTCGTGCGAGGGTCGGTCAGTTCGGCGAGGACGCGGAAGAAGGACTTGCAGATGCGGCCCGTGTAGGAAAAGTGCTCGAGCTGGGGCACGGCCTCGGCGAGCTTTGTGCAAAAGTGGACGGTCCGGCAGACCTTGACGTGGTGGGCCGGGTAGGTGACCTCGCGGCGGTAGTCGCTCTCGAGGCAGAGGTGGAGGCTCTTGAGGTGGGCGGCGGGCAGGTCGGGCAGGACGCGGGCCATGGAGAGATAGCTCTTGGACTTGGGCTTCGAGTAGGAGCCGTGCCACTCAGTGAGGTTGGGCAGGGACGAGAGGATCGACCTGAAATCCTCGTCGGTGCGCATGAGGTTCCACTGGCCCCTTGTGACGAGCGTGCGGACGGATTCGAGGATCGGCAGGGCCCAGTCGTTGGGGCCAGCCCAGGAGGAATGCTGCACCAGGGGCGCCTTCTTCCGCTCCCCGCCCTCGAGCGTCAGGATCATGACGAACGGCAGCGTCTCGGCCACAAAGAGGAGGGCCTCCTCGAGAGTGCAGTTGTTGGCCGGTAGCGTGTACGTCGCGTTGGTGAGGCCGTCGGACGTCACAGTCGGTAGAGCCAGGGCGGAACTCAACGCGAGCGGGCCGTACTTTGGCTGGAAGACAGGGAACCACAGCTCAATGTGCTTGACGTAGTAACGCAGCTCATCGTGGGCGGCAAAGAAGGTCATGGCGGCGTGGACCGAGTCGATGGTCGCCTTGAGCTTCAAGTGTCGGAACAGCCTCTGCTGGATCAGGATCCTCCATGTGTGATTGATCAGCGCCAGCTCGGACAGCTCTCTCCTACGTGAATGTCGCAGCGCCGTGTTCCAGCTCTTGGTGACGCTCTGCATGTCGACGGAGCTTTTCGACTTTGTCGACACGCGGTAGCCAAAGAGGTGGTCGAGGATCATCTCGTGCACCTCGGAGGGCAGATCGAGCAGGCTCAGCTTCATCTCGGGCACCGTCTCAAAGTGTTCCGAGTACGGCGTCGTCGTGAAGCCGGCGTCGTGCTCGAAATCCAGCATGTCCTCGTCGCCCGACAGATAGTGGTAGTTGGCATGCCGCGGTTCGGAGTGGGGAAACGGCGTGCTGCTGGGCCGCGTCGGCGGGACAAAGTCGGAGCCCTTGGTCTGGGTCGAGGGGCGGGCTGGAGGAGCCGGGAGAGACGGGATTCGAGGCATTGTTGAGAACGGGGTTGCCGATGGATCGAGGCAGCCATGAGGTGTGGCAGCTCCTCCTCGGGGCCCTGCCCTCGCATCGTTCTCGCAGGGG